GCTACTGAATAAATGAAAGGAGAAATCAAAAACTACCTAGAGACAAATGAAAATGAAAATACAACATAGTAAAACCTATGGGATGCAGCAAAAGCAGTACTAAGAGGGATATTTATAGCAATACAGGCCCACCTCAAAATATAAAAATCTCAAATAAACAATCTTATACTATACCTAGAAAAACTAGAAAAAGAAGAACAAACAAAGCCCAAGTCAGTAGAAGGAAAGAAATAATAAAAATCAGAGCAGAAATAAATGACATACATACTAAAAAAACAGAAAGGGTAGATAAAACAAAAAACTGCTTCTTTGAGAACATACACAAATTTGACAAACCCTCAGCCAAACTCACTAAGAGTAAAAGGGAGAAGACTGAAATAAATAAAATCAGAAACGGACCAGGAAAAATTACAATGGACAACACAGAAATACAAAGGATTATAAGAGAATACTATGAAGGGATATATGCCAACAAATTGGATAACCTAGAAAAAATGGATAAATCCTTAGAATCATACAACTTCCCAAAACTGAATCAAGAAGAAATAGAGGGGCCAGCCCCATGGTCGAGTGGTTAAGTTCGCACGTTCTGCTTCAGCAGCCCAGAGTTTCACCGGTTTGGATCCTGGGCGCGGACGTGGCACAGCTCATCAGGCCATGTTGAGGGGGCGTCCCAAGTGCCACAACTAGAAGGACCCACAACGAAGAATATACAACTATATACTGGGGGGATTTGGGGAGAAAAAGCAGGAAAAAAAAGATATGAAACAGTTGTTAGCACAGGTGCCAATCTTTAAAAGAAAAGAAGAAGAAGAAGAAGAAATAGAGAATATGAATAGACCAATCACAAGTAAAGAGATTGAAATAGCAAACAAAAACCTCCCAAAAACCAAATGTCCAGGACCAGAGGAGTCTCTGGTGAATTCTACCAAACATTCAAAGAAGATTTAATACCTACGCTTCTCAAACTCTTCCTAAAAATTGAAGAGGATGGGACACTTCCTAACTCATTTTACTAGGCCAATATTACCCTGATATTAAAAACTGACAAGGACATCACACAAAAAGAAAATTACAGGTCAACATTGCTGATGAACATAGATGCAAAAATCCTCAAAAAAAAATAGCAAGTTGAATACAACAATACATTAAAAGGATCATACAGCACAGGTGTTTAATAAATCTCAAATGAGATTTATTCCAGGGATGCGGGATGGCTCAACATCCACAGATCCATCCATGTGATACACCACTTTAACAAAATGAAGAATAAAAATCACATGATCATCTCAATAGATGCAGAGAAAGCATTTGATGAGATCTGACATCCATTTACGATAAAAAGAAAACTTTCAAGAAAATGAGTATAGAAGGAAAGTACCTCAACATAATAAAAGGCATATATGACAAACACATAGCCAACATCATACTCAGTGGTGAAAAACTGAATCCTATTCCTCAGAGAGCAAGAACAAGACATGGATACCCACTCCTATTCAACATAGTACTGGAAGTTTTAGCCAGAGCAATTAGGAAAGAAAAAGAAATAAAAGGGATCCAAGTTGGAAAGGAAGAAGTAAAACTGTCACAATTTGTGGGTGACATGATTCTATACATATAAAGCCCTAAAGAATACACCAAAAAATTATTAGAAATAATCAATGAACAGAGTGAAGTTTGGGGATACAAAATCAACATACAAAAGTCAGTTACATTTCTATACACTAATAATGAACTAGTAGAAAGAAATATCAAGAAAACAATCCCATTTGCAATCACAACAAGAAGAATAAAATACCTAGGAATAAATTTAACCTAGGAGGTGAAAGACCTATACATTGAAAACTATAAGATATTAGTGAAAAAAATCAAAGAAGACATAAAGAAATTGAAAGATATTCCATGCTCATGGATTGGAAGAATAGTTTAAATGTCCCTATGACCTAAAGCAATCTACAGATTCAATGCAATTCCAATCAGAATCCCAATGACACTCTTCACAGACATAGAACAAAGAATCCAAAGTTTTACATGAAATGACAAAAGACTCTGAATACCCAAAGCAATCTTGAGAAAAAAGAACAAAGTTGGAGGTATCATACTCCCTGACTTCAAAATATGCTACAAAGCTATAGTAACCAAAACAGCATGGTACTGGCAGGAAAACAGACACACAGATCCACAGAGCATAACTGAGAGCCCAGAAATAAAACCACACATCTATGGACAGCTAATCTTCGACTATGAGCCAAGAACATACAAATGAGAAAGGAAAGTCTCTTCAAAAAAGGGTGTTGGGTGGGCTGGCCCTGTGGCCGAGTGGTTAAGTTCGTGCGCTCCGCTGCAGGCGGCCCAGTGTTTCGTTGGTTCGAATCCTGGGTGCGGACATGGCACTGCTCGACAGACCACGCTGAGGCAGCATCCCACATGCCACAACTAGAAGAACCCACAACGAAGAATACACAACTATGTACCGGGGGGCTTTGGGGAGAAAAAGGAAAAAATAAAATCTTTAAAAAAAAAAAAAAGGGTGTTGGGAAAACCGGACAGTCACATGCAAAAGAATGAAAATAGACAACTATTTTACTCCATACATAAAAATTAACTCAAAATGGAGTGAAGACTTGAATGTCAGACCCAAAACCATAAAACACCTAGAAGAAAATACAGGCAGTATGCTCTTTGACAGATCTTAGCAGTATCTTTTGGAATACCCTGTCTCCCAGGCAAGAGAAATAAAAAGAAAAATAAACAAATGGGACTAAATCAGACTAAAAAGCTACTGCATGAGTTCTCATTTCCCTAATAACTAGTGATGCTGAACATCTCTTCATGTGCCTCTTGGCCCTCTGTATACTTTCTTTGGGAAAATGTCTGCTCATGTCCTCTGCCCATTTTTTGATTGGGGTGTATATTTTTTTGTTCCTGAGTTGCATGAGATCTTTATATATTTGAAAATTAACCCCTTGTCACATATCTGATTTGCAAATATTTTCTCCCAGTTATTGGGTTGTCTTTTCATTTTGTTGATGGCTTCCTTTTTCTATTTATTCTTTATCCCACTCATCTGGCTTCTTTCTCCATCATTCCCCTGAAACTCTCCTGGTAAAACTCACCAACTGACCCAGGGAAGGTCACCTAGTCACCAAGGTCAACAGTACTTATTAGTCTTGTCTTTTTTCCCACTGGCCTGTCACTGCATTTAACAATGTTGCCCCCTCCCATCTTCTGGAACTCCCTACTTCCCTAGCTTCTGTTCTGTTGGAAGAAGTTGGTTGTCCCAACTTCCTTGCCGATCACCCTGATGAGCTTCCCTTCTGCTCCCTCCTGAGCCTAGACTCCCTCTGCATCCCTGCTCTCCTCAGGCCACTTTGCAGGCAGCTTCCCAATCATGACATGGGCAACAGCTCCAGAGGCCCAGTTCTGTGGTGTCGTTTTGGGAATCATTAGTGGATGCTCAGACCAAAAACTGGTTTTTCAGCCCTCCCCATGATACTATTAACTGCGTAGTATCCTATGTTTTTAAAAATTCCTTTTTGTTTAAATTAACTAGTCTGGACATTGTTCTCTACAAACAAATTCGAGCCGTTATACACTTTATTACATTGACACATCAATGGACTTGAAAGTACAGAGAGTTGCTGTATTGTAACTATCATCAGCTTGTTTGTATTTTTGAAATTCTAGAATTTGGACTTGTTACAGGCTCTTAACATCAGCCCTGATATCAGTTCCCCCACATTGAACCCAGCGTATATGGGGTTAAAACTAAAACCCACCACCCCCTTTCCTGCTTCTCTAGCTCCACTCATATGGAAATACCTGTTTCTTTAAACTTGGACCCCTTGAGCTTTACAACTAAATGGGAGTTACAAATTGTTAAAAGCCCAGGTGGCCTGGAGTTGGAGGCACACTAAAGTTTAGCTAATTATGTGTCCTTGAGTTTGCCAGGAAAGCTGCTGTCTCAAGAGTATCAAGGAGCGGAGGCTTCCCAGACCTCGACTCCTCAATCTAGGCGTTTTAACCCGCCTCAAACAGGAAGACGAGACAGAGACAACGGCGAAGGACGCCCACCTGCCATCCTCCTGTCTCTCCCTCCACCCCCCTACTCCCACCCCCCACCACCCCACCCACCCCCACCCCCACCGCCGCCTTGCTGAAGCAGCCTCTCAAGGCCAAACGCAGGCTGGTGGGAAAACGCCAGCCTGCACAGCTACATGCACCCTCTCCCCTACCCAAAACCCCAAATAAAAATCCCTACCCATTCCTCATCGGGGAGGTAGCAGTTTTTGAGGCATGAGCCCTTGCTTTGCTCCCTGTGCCTGGCATAGTAAAAACCTTTCCTCTTCCACTCAAGACTCTGTTCTCGTTATTTGGATTGGCATCAGGTTCAGAGACCGAACTTTCAGTTACAGACTCCGCCACCACACCCTGGCTTGGAGGATTTGTCAGTCCTCCACACACACACACACACACACACACACACACACACGAGCAGGATACTTCACAATCTTTAGAGGCGATGTAGTGAGACACAGTGGTCGTCACACTTGAGGCTGCTCAGTAATCACCCAGAGCTCCTGATAAGGGACAGATCTCCGGGTCCCAGCCTCAGAGTCTGAGTCCCGGGGTCTGGAGAGTGGGATCTGGGAATCTACACCTAACAAGCACCCCCAGGTGATCCACTGCTCACACTGGAAGAAACGTGAGTGAGGCAATGAAGAGCACAGAGTCTGGCGTCCACAGACCTGGGTGTGAACACCAGCCTTACCATGTACCAACTGTGTGACCCTGGACAAGTCACTTATCCTATCTGAGCCTCAGTTTCTTCATTTGTAAAATGCAAGTAATAATAGCACCTACCTTATATGGATCAAATGAGATAACCACATAAAAAGAGATTAACATAGGACTTATATAATATAAATTATAAATATAAAATAAAATTTTATTTTTTTAGACATAAAAAGCTTAAGATAATAAATGCTTAAATATTCCTACTGTTTCCTTGGTTGATTCTCATCTCAAGCTGAAGGACATGACCCTGTTTTCATAATCAGTGAAACGAAACCTCACTAAAGTGACTTCCACTCACTGAGACAGTGACAGAACTGAGACCTCCATTGTAAAACCGTCTACAGGCTGTCCCAACACATTTGTCACAAAAGCTTTAAGCTGGAGAGCTGGCGAAGAAGGCGCCGTCCTTTGTTCATTTCAGAGAGATGGTAAGCTGTATTCACGGCCGTTGTTACGTCATCTTCAGGCCCAACTACACGGAGACAATCTCAAACAGGGGTGACCATGTGACTTCTGAAACACTATGCACAGGGCCAGCAGAGAGAAAGCTAAAGACAGTAAGATAACTTACAAAGAGTCTGGAGTGAGCAACTGATCCTCAGACACAAGAACATCCTGAGATGAAAGTGGCGTCAGTCTGAGAACGATCAGAGAACAGAGATTGTGTGAGTACATTAAAATGATGTGAAATGAAACACAACCTGTGGTTAGGGGCCTCAGAGTCACGTCATTTCTGTACCACTGTTTTAGAATATGTTCACAACCGGTTTTTCCCTACTCTGCTCTCATTTCCCTTTTATGCCTCTAACAACACAATCAGAGAAGAATCATCTTTTATACTTTTTAAAGCTTTTCTAAAGCATTTAAAAAATGCTTTTAGATATAAGTAAGCCGCTTACTTAGGAAGAGCTAGAAGCATGACGAAGCATCATACAAAAGCAAAGGAGTGGGGCAAACTCAGCTCCTAACAGCGTGTAGACACATGGATAAAAGCCAGTGCAGAAACCCACGCTGTTGGTGAAGCAGCCTGCAGCCTCCTCAGCCGTGTGAGAACGACCGTGCACCCCCACCCTCGTGACGGAAGCTGCCAGCTGCACAGACCACAGACCGGAAAGACAGAGGACGCCCGGCTCTCACATTTCCCAGCTGCTTTTCTTACAGATAGAGGGGGAAAGTGACAACCCTGGTCCTCACCTCCCTCCACACATAGAGAACGCCAACATCTCAAGGCTTGTTTGATGTATAACCAGATTGATCTTGTTCCCAAAAGGGGGAACGACAGTCAGAAGAACGAATTGGATGCCTGGTGTCATGTACTTTTACTTAATTTAATTTTTTTAATTACTTATTTTAGCCAGACTTTCGAGGAACTCCACCCAAGAATGACTGACATGATGGCTGCCAGGTGCTGCCACCAGGGTTTGCTGGGGTACATTCTTCTGCTGGCTAGTCCCCGCCCACGCCTAAACGGGGTGAGCTGATTTCTGCGGTTTTACCTCCTCAGAGACCCAGCCTAGAGACTGTCCAAGGACACAATTACACTCTCTTTAGGCCTGCCCTCCTACAAAGGGCAGAGGGATAAACACCTCCTTGCAGGCACAAGGGTTGGGGTGGGGGTCCGAAAACAGCAAGGGAGGGGGAATGCGTGTGTTTGCGTGTGCGGAAGAACAGGGTGCGGAAACCGGACGTAGAGACGGTAAGGAGGCAGGGTGTCAGTAGAGTAGTGGGGGGCACACACTGGCGGGGTAGAGGTACTAGATGTAAGGCAGGGCGGACGGGGAGGTCGCTCTGTGGGTAATTTCCCTGTCCCCCTCCTCCAGTCCCGGGTCCCCGAAGTCCCCCGGGGTTGGCAGGAGGAAGGAACCTGTGCGTCCCCCGCATCTCCCGGCGCAGAGAGCGCCCTCTCCTTGCTCCCGTCGCCCCAAGGGAGTCCCGGCCCAGATCCTCCGGGGACGGACGTGTCCTCGAGCGCGGGGGCATCACCCGGCCACCTCCGCTCAGCGGCTGTGGGTCCCGCTACCGCCGCCCCGCCCGACAGGGGGCCCCGCCGAGCTGCAGCGGAGGCAGGGCCGCGACGTTCGCGCGGTAATTGCAAACCGGAACCCGAGGACTAAACTGAGAGTTCATTTGTGGTTCAAGTCTGCAGACGCCGCGACATCTGCAAACAGCATCTGATGAAAGGGAGGCAGCGAGTCCCTCGGTCCCCTCGCCGCAGCCGCGATCGCTCCTCGGTGCGTCAGCGTCCCCGACCCTAGTGCGGAGAACTGACCCGGCGCCCGGGGGACCGTCCTCGGCGCCCCCGCCCCATCGGGACCGGGACAGACGGGCAGCCACCACCGCGGACCGGCCTCGTCCAGGACCGCGCCCCCCGCCCCCCCGCGTCCGACCCGAGAAGGTGAGGAGAGGAGGAGCGGGGGAGGAAGACCCAGGGCCGGGCCCGTCCTCCAGAAGCCCCCCGACCCTGAGACCAGGCTGCGACCGGCCCGGGGGGCCACTTGCGAGCCAGCTGCGGGGCGGGGGAGGGGCTGCCGCTGGATGAGGAGAGGACAGAAATCCCTAGACCTTCTGCTCTGACCTTGCTCGTCCGGTGCTCTCGGAGGAGTCTGGAGCCGGCAGGTGGACAGAGACCAGCAATGACGTCTGGGGTTTCTTGAGGCCTGGGCTCCAGCAGGATGGTTGGAATCCATGGTCACCCCGTCTTTATGACAGAGCAGGTGCTGTCTGTCCTCAGTGAGTTTGCTTAACATCCGGTGCACTTGGTGAGAGCGAATCTTAATCATTTGAGAGAAAAGAGTTTGAGAGGTTAGGAGCGGAGAGAGGAGGAGGGAGAGAACAGGGCATGATGGAGGGGGAGAGGGAGGGGGCAAAGAGGCAGGAGAAGGGACAGGAAGGTAGATGGTAGGAAGTGGGCAGAGGAGCTCGCTTCCCGTCCAGCAGCCTTGCTCTCACCAGAAGAGGTTTTTGACACGGGGTAGGGAAGGAGGAGAGGCTATTTAAAGTGAAGTTTGTTTACGTCACATCTTTTATTTTTTTTTAAATAAGTAACTGCATTTTGATTACTTGCAAAATATTCCTTTGCTATAATTGTTCTTCCCACTGGATTTCAGCAGGTTGTCCTCAGTTGTCCTGGAGCGAACACACCGGGCAGGGCCCACTGGTGAACGTTTATAAACACGCCTGGCTACTTTTGCGCGTTACTCTCCTAAAATGTCGCTGCCATCTCACACTGCACGTCTTCTTTGGAAGATTCTGCTGCTGATAGAAGCCTGGCAGACTCTGGGCCATGGTGAGTGTCCTGGGATCGCCAGACCTGCCTGGGAGGGGGAGGAGGGAAGATGGGGAGGGGCTTCACTCAGGTTTCAGCAGGTGGGCGCCTGTCTATGTGCTCTCACCACGGGGAGGGTGTGGTTTAGCTGGAGTGGCTCCCAGGTGTTCCTCACACCCAGTTCTGGGCGTGGACCCCGGCCGCAGGCTCCCCACCTGATACTGTGCTCGCATGTGGCAGCTGTCCCTCTCCTGCCAGGTCCCACCTTCTGCTCCAGGAAGCCTTTCCTGAGTCCCCAGAACCCACCAGGAATTTGGCATGTGTTCCATGGTGTCTTTTTTCCCTTTCTGTTGAAAGTCCTGTCTGTTCAGCTTATTTTAAGTCCCAGGAGGAGAAAACTGTCGTGTATATTTTGTACTTCACAATTTGGTAGATGTTGTTAAAAATATTTGTCACATGAATCCTCCTGGTAACAGTACGTGCACCTGAGGAGTCCATGGTACCACGCATTTTACATCAAAGTATTTTCCTAAACCTCAGCCAGGTAAAGGGGAGACAGGACAAGGATCCAGAGGATGGAGGGGGCTGGGATGGGGACTCCTCCCGCTGCAGCGAGGCCCTTCAGAGGGAGCCCCAGGGCCACACCTGCATCTTTCTCTCACAGACGCTCACTCTCTTTGCCTCGACCTCACTGTCAAACCTCAGGCCAGACCTGGACAACCCTGGTATGAAGTCCAGGGCTCAGTGGATAGAAAGCCTTTCCTTCAGTATGACAGTGACAGCAAAAAGGTCAGAGCTTTGGGTCTCCTGGGGGAGAAGGTAAACGCCACCAATGCCTGGACAGACTTGACACGAACACTGGGAGAAGTGGGGCAAGAGCTCAGGATGGTCCTGCCTGTCATCAGACTGGAGAAGAACAGGACCAGGGGTAAGTATGGGAAGGGGGAGAGGAGATGGGGACAGTCAGCAAGAGAGGGAGGAGCAGAGCACACGCAGGGAAGGGGCTGGGCTAACAGAGCTGAACAGGGGTCCAGCCTTAGAGACGAGGTGGATCTAATGGGCAAGAAAGGGCAGGTCACGGAGGAAAGAATACAGGGCCCTCAATGTGCAGAGACACACTTGACCTGCTGGGAGACGGTGGAGCTCTCAAGAGCCCAGGATGATGTCTTTGTGTGGGGGGGGGGGTTGCAGGTCTTCCCACCCTGCAGGTCAAGCTGTGTTGTCAGCGGGAAGCAGAACGATGCACTGGTGCGTCCTGGCAGTTCAGCATCAACGGACAGACAGCCGTCTTTGACACAATGAGCATGAACTGGACAGTCATTGATCCCGGAGTCAGAGGGATCCAGGAGGAGTGGGAGAACAGCCAGGACCTGGCAGAGCATTTCAGGAAGCTCTCAGCAGGAGACTGCAGTCACTGGCTGAGGGAATTCTTAGAACACTGGGAGAAAGTGCTGGAGCCCACAGGTAACTGAGCAGGGGCAGAGGATGGGGTAGCTCTCTGTAAGGCCTACTGCCTCCCTGTGTGGATGTGAGTCTGTGTGCGTGTGTGAAAATTTGACGGATGGATCGATTGATTGATTCCCGGTGGACTTCCTGTCTGGAGAGTCAGCGACTGCCACAGGACTTCCCACCATCCTCCTTTCCCATCCCCCCTCCCTCGAAACAGCAGCCCCCTCCCCCATTAACCAATGCCCTGGTTGCTAGATGGTCCCCAAATCTCTGCATCATTGCACGTCCAGGCCTTTGCTTCTTCCTCTGTTTTAGTTATTTCTTAACGAGGTAAAATGCCCCTTCTTTTAAAGCCGTCACCACCCTCCCAGATAGACCTAAGCACCCCCAATTCTGTCATCCTCAAAAAGGCCTACCGACAGTGAACATGTCACCGCATATGCTGATAGATGGACATTTACTGTCTCCCTCAGTCCAAACATGAGCTCCTTGAGGACAGGGAACAACCCCTGTTCATCTTTATCCCTCAGGACCTGGTAGAGTGGCTGTCACCTAATGTGTCAGTAAATATGTGGGGGGACATGTGCTGCCTGGGAACATAGGTGTGAGGAAGGTATGTGTATTCTTAAGTTTGACAGAGCTTTGCTTTTTTCTTTATTTAGAACCACCATTAAAGACCCCAGACACCCACCAGTCTTCATCCATGTGGATAAATCCAGGGATCATCGCATCAATCGTCATCTGCTTAGTCCTAATTGTCTCAGTCCTAATTGGCATCATCGTTATGAAATGTAGGAGAAGATCTGGTACCAGGGAAGGTGAGGAGCAGGCTGGCCTCCGGCTCTCGGGGAGGACATAGTCTGATGAGGACTGGGGAGAGGTGAGCCATGGTCTCACCCCAGCCCTTGTCCACTGCTCCATCTCTACATGGAGACCACACACTTTCACTGCAGGGCTGGAGATTGCTCTGTTGTTCGGGTGGCAGAGGCTGGTGCAGGCAGCACAACAGTGCAGTGAGGGGACAGGCAGACCCAGAATCTACTCCCCTGTGGGGCAGGGGCTGAGATCTAGAAGGCTTCAGGTGGAGAGTCATCTTGTTGGGATCTATCCCAGGTTTCCCCAGACTTTTGGTGAAAATCTTGCTCTCTGATGATAGCATGATTTAGCTCAACAACTTTTCTGGTGTTGTAACAGCCGACCCATCATCTGAAGCTTCTTCTCTGGACCATGAGAAGGTGATGTTAGACCAAATTTCGGTCACAGAACTGGACTCTTGTTGACAGTCTGGCTGCCAATCTGATATGCAATCTTCTACTCAGAGGTGGGTTTTCCAGGAAGCTACTGAAGCTCAGCTCCAGGACCCTTCACTTGCACGAGCTCCTCTCCTGCCCTAGAAGGGGCCTCGCAATGTGCTGACTGGGTCATTTTGAGAAATTTGCAAAAGTAGGATATTTGCTGACAATCATGAGGACAGCCCGTTTTACTCTGACCCTCTTTCCATCAGGCTTCCCTCTGTGGCAGGTGGAACTGGAGCCACTGCTGACATTGTTTTATTCAATTAAGAGGAAGAATAGTTAGGAACACTTTTGGTTTAATGAGATATATCTGTGTGCTCACACTCACTTTCGTGTACAGATAAATTATTGCTACAGAGAAACCACAAGTCAGCTATGCTGACTGACTAGATGTCAGAACATGTCAATGTGTCTTATGACACCTGGCAGAGTAGAAAGGATGAATAAAGTGATATATTTACAAATGGAACACTATATAGAAATCGATAAAGAATAAACTGCTACACAAAACCTGAATGACTCTTACAGAGAGGATGTTGAGAGGGAAATGACAAACACAAAAGAATATATACTCTATGATTGCACTTATAGAAATTTCAAAAACAGACAAAACTCTCTTTGGTAATAGGAGTCAGAAGGGTGGATACCTTGGATAATGATCTATAACTTGACCTGAAAGTTGATTATTCAAGAGGACTTCATTTTTAAAAATACGTCAAGCCAACCATTAAAGTTTGTTGGGGCTGGCCCCGTGGCCGAGTGGTTAAGTTCACGCGCTCCGCTGCAGGCGGCCCAGTGTTTTGTTGGTTCGAATCCTGGGCGTGGACATGGCACTGCTCATCAAACCATGCTGAGGCAGCGTCCCACATGCCACAATTAGAAGGACCCACAACGAAGAATATACAGCTATGTACTGGGGGGCTTTGGGGAGAAAAAGGAAAAAAATAAAATCTTAAAAGAAAAAAAGAAAAGAAAGTTTGTTATACTTTACTGTAGGTGTTACATTTCAGCAAAAAAATGTTTCAAAATTTTTTTGTAGAGGTTTCAGTTCTCATTAATGTCTTGACAAACTAATCATTCTCTCTTGTCAAGGATATACTGAATGATGAATTAAAGTACAAATACAGTATACATTTTTTTCTAATGGGAATCAGACACACTACTCACACTTACAGAGAGAGACAAAAACACACAGAGAGACTGAGACACAGAGACAGAGGGGGAGGGAGCCGTGATATGCTTCCCCAGCTAGTCCTCTTTTTCCGTCACCGCCCTAGCACTAAGAATTCGTTTCTTGCTCCCACTGCTTTCGTCATCCCCATGGTGTCCTCTCCATGCTGACCCAGGCAGGCCTCAGAAATTTCAGATAGCACTTTAGAAAAGCTGGCAGCTCTGGGGTTAAGTTACATTCCTGGGCTCTCTGTGGAGTCCAAAGTTAAGATTCCCTCTCACGAGAAAAATGACCTTCTCCATCTGTGATTCAATGAGGAGCGATGTTACTGATGTAGGAAATGATTCCACCGGTTTAGCACCTTAACCAATGTTTGGTTTTACGACTGGGCCGTGCAGTGAAAAGTTAACTTACCACATCCTAGTGTCCCCACAGGCTTGGCAAATATGACTGAGTCAAACAAGGACCACTGCCCAAAAAGGGCTTCTGCTATGAGTGGTGTGGTGGCAGCAGGGACCCAGGCACTGTATCTACCTAGACTTGGGTGGGGCTCAGCCTAGCACGGCGGGTGCAGCTCTGTTCACAGGGAAGGGGATCCCATCCACACAGCTGCAGGCACAGGGTCTGGCGTTAACCCCTGGTGGAAGGTGACTGACAAGGGCTTACCTGCCCCACCCAAGCAGGCTGGGGGTGAGGCTGCATTCCCAGTAGCCAAGGGGATTGGTGAGCAGGGAAAAAAGGCAGAAGAACAGTTTTAGAAGCTGGGTCTCAATGGTGAAGATTCTGTGAGGCCTGGGCTGCCATGGACCCCTGGGGGTTGCTGACTGAGCCGGCTTCTTTCTGGCCACCTGGCCTGCTGCTGAAGGGCTATATGCCCGACAGGCTCAGGGCAGGACTAACCTGCTGATGAATGTCGGTGCCCACAGCTGAGCTGGACAGAGGGGGCAGGCAGGGCAGGCCCAGGGAAGGGTGTGTGAGAGTTAAGGAGTGAAAATGTATCCTCACACCGTCTTCCTCCTCTGGACAAACCTCCCCACTTCCCGCCACCAGGAGGATCAGAACCTGAGAAAAAGAGAGTTTGTGTGCCCAGGATAACTTCCTCCTTTGTCACCACTGGCATTTCCTGACATGGCTTTTGCTGATGTGACAGAGGAGAGAGAAGATTGGCCAAAACTAAATGACAAGGCGAAAGGGTTGACAGGAAGTGTCTCAAATCAGGAGACACTTGGCAAGGGGTGGGCCCAAGATGAGCAGACCCAGAATCTAGCACAAATGCTTGTTTCTCTTCTGAACATGGTTCCAGGCCCAGAGAGTGCAGCTCAGCTCACCAGAGCTCCTGAGTGTCTGCCAGCGGCTGCTTCCCCATTCTGGCAACTGAGAATGTCAAGACACTGTGTGTCACACCGTCTCTTCCTTTTTTTGTTTTTTGTTGTTTTTTTTGAGGAGGATTAGCCCTGAGCTAACATCTGTCACCAATCCTCCTCTTTTTGCTGAGGAAGACTGGCTGGCCCTGAGCTAACATCCGTGCCCATCTTCCTCTACTTTATATGCGGGACGCCTACCACAGCTTGGCTTGCCAAGCGGTGCCATGTCTGAACCCAAGATCCGAACCAGTGAACCCGGACCGCCAAGTGGAACGTGCGCACTTGACCGCTGTGCCACCAGGCCGGCTCCCCATCTCTGCCTGCTTTCATTAGCCATCCAAGGATTTATGGATTTCAGGAAGAGGATGTTTTCTAATACCTCGCCCCAGGTCATGCCTCTTTTTGCTGGTGGTCCACCTGGACATAGGCACACCTGCACGTGTCCACTAAAAGACGTATTCAAGAATGTTCATGGCAGCTTTATTCATCACTGCCCCAAACTGGAAAACCGCCCGTGTCCATCAGCCGGTGAATGGCCACATCAGTTATAGTTCTGTGCAGCTGAATGCCACAGAGCATTACACAAAAGAAACTACTGTGACATGTAACAACATGGATGCCTCTACAGACTTATACCGTGCTATTCCACCTGGAGGAAGCTCAAGAACAGGCAAGCCTAGTTCACTGCAGCACAAGGCAGAATACAGTGGTTGTCTCTGAGGAGGGAGGTTTGAGTGAAAAGGGAGTGAGGAGCCTCTGCAGTGGTGAGAATACTCTTATCCTGATCTAGTGGTGGGTACACATCTAAATATATAAAATTTCAGTGATTGCACTTAGACTCGCACTACTTGATATTAAACTTATTTTAAGTTATGGTAATCAGAACACTGACATTCTGGTGGGGGTAGAGAAAGACTAGACCAATGGAACAGAAAGAGAGCCGAATCCAGCATGGCTGGTGTCCTTAGAAGAGGGGGCAATGTGGACACAGACACAGACGAGCACTGTTTGAAGACGCTGTGAAGATGGAGATACACAAGCAGAAGACACTCACGCGACAGTGGAAGCAGAGATTGAAGCACTGCACCTGCCAGCCAATGAGCTCCAGGGACTGCAGGAGGTGGGAGAGCCCACGGAAAGAACGGACCCTGCCCACACCTTGATTTTGGATTTCAGGCCTCGCTCACCCAGTTGGTGGTTGTAATATGGTGACTTATAATGAGAAATATGTATTTGGTTTCCATCCTGTTTCTGGCACAGAGCTGCCGAAACTCTTGGCTTATTGAAAAAAGATACTTTCAGAAGGACTCCGTGCAGCCTCACCGAAGGAACCATATGAGATATTGCTGACTAATCTTCATGCTTCGAAGATAAAAGATATTGACTCATTGATTCACGTTTCTCATTTTGAAAAGGCTCCCCACACCTACCACCCCTCACTGGACTTCTCAACCTGTTGGTGATCTTAAATTAAATTTATCAAAACTTGCCCTAAAACAACAATCACCTGAATGAGAAGCAGGCGACATCTGATGTAGGCTGGGAATCTCAAGACACAGGACCAGGCCTGTATTTCTAATCTTATATCTTCCCCATCCAAACCCTCATAATGCACAAATCATACACCTCCTTCACAATGGCTGCAATGATCGTAGTCCAGAGCACACTAGCAATTCCCATACTCTGTGTGATGCAGGTCAGCTTCCTTGTGTTTTAGATTGCCTTTCTAATATTGTTTAACTATTGCCCCTTTGTCTTTATCACCTCAATTCCTCACTCCTTATTTTAACCTCCTCTAAATTGCATATAAAAATAGGGTAAAACCTTATCGTAAGAGTTTTACTTCTAATATTCCTTTCATAATAACCATCTAAAATCATTTCACGAAATCATCAATTAATTAGCAACAAAATGCCTGGGATGTGGATGAGAGCTGCCTTACTGGTGCTTGTGATGATAAACTACAGTCCACTTTGACCACTTTATCTCACCCTTTCATTCCGACTCTACAGAAACTCCCTGAGTGCCAGTCTTACCAATGGCTGCATATGCGCCAGGACAAACCACACCCGCAATATTCCTGAACTGGTAGCATGGCCTGGATCCTTAGAAGGTTGGAGGAATCTAACCAGAAAAGATGTAGGATTTTCTATAGCATTTTTAAAACCAACTATCGGCTGCCCTCTGGAAAACAAGCCCCAGATATGATTACCTCATTTCACTGGGCGGTCTCTCTCTCACCAGAATGTGGGTACATCTCATAATCTTTCCTTGTGTACTGAAAATATCAATAGCACTACAAAAACTCTGGGTTATTTCCCACTCGATATTTGTAACTTCACCCTTCTCTATGGTTCTGTTGACTGTGAATTCACACCTTGCTGGGATTCAGAAAACCATTATGATGTTACATCCCTTGATGTGTCTATGGTGAGAACACTCCCAAAATAATGGAACTGGCAAGTGGGAAGCTGATATACTCCCCTTAATGGCACCCCTTGGGGTGTAGATCAAAAGTCAGAAGAATGGTGGAAATTAAGTAAAAACTGTAATAGCCTTAATGACCCAACTGACCCTCAACAAAATTAATCTGGCCAAAATCAATCTCATCTACTGTTCCAAGTTTATGGAAACCTTTGCAGTTCCTATAGCCATTCTCCCAACATTGCCAGTTCTGACTGCCATGTCCTCTATGAGAACAATTTCTGATTGTTACATTTCTGATCATGGAATTTCCCTTTTGAACCTATCAAAAGAGACTGGGTGCATGGGCCCATTTATGCCATATCTCTTGAAAACACTGGATACTTCCTTGGATGTGGCTCCAATATTTTTTCCGCTCCCCCCGTTTCCTGGAGGGCTGTCGTGGAAGAGCAGCACTCAGCTCAGATGCCGCCATTAGAAAACATCTTCCTTCCACTGCTCGTGTCCCAAATCTCGGTTTACTCTCATATCAACTCAGGAGAGCCAAGGGAAACTATGACTTTCAGGGACATCCTACATGCAATCCAATTGTAGATAAAACAGGGATGGGGGTGTGCCTTTGCTAGAGCATTATTTCCTGCTTATGGGGTAATTGACCACTAGGTCTGGAGGATATTTTAGCAATATTTTTTTTTAAAAAAAACCTTTAAAATGTGACGCTTAATCTATAGAACTGTAAGATAATAAGTTTGCATTGTTTTAAGCTACTAAGTTTGTGGTAATTTGTTCCAGCACCGCTAGAAGACTACAGACATTCTCAGAGGGGCCCAGACAACAGAAATGGACAAAAAACGTTCTAAATTTCAAAAGGTAGACTTTGCAAAATTTGTACCTGAAAACAATCCTGGATAAGATTCTAGAAATAGCTTTTAAGGGCCTATTTGGAGAACTCTGACAAAAAACAGTGCTCATCAGGATGGTAGGTCCATTTGTAAATATTCCATGGAGGAGTGTTAATTTTGTTTAAAGTAACAAACAGTCCACATTCACTGAGACTTTATCCTGTGACAGGTACAGTGCCAGCACTTTACACACGTTTACTCACTACCTTTCACAATCACCCTGTGAGGTCCAGACTCGTCAGTCCTTCTGTTACAGCCCAAGAAGCGAGAAGACAGAGAGGTCTGGGCAGCCAGTGCTGCCAGAATCCAGACCCAGGCAGGCAGCTAGGAACCAGCTCCCACCACCTCAGGGGGAATCCTTGTTTTATCTTTCCTCTAATTGCAAGTGGCAAAATGTATTTTATATATGTAAGGTAAAGTTTAAATAAGGAAGGTCACGTGCCTGAGAGGAAAAACAATGTTAAAAGACCTGATGAAGATGTGGTAGGTATACACAATGAAATACTACTCAGCCATAAAAAAGATGAAGTCTTGCCATTTGTGACAACACAGATGGACCTTGAGGGTATTATGCTAAGTGAAATAAGTCAGATGGAGAAAGACAAACACTGTATGATTCCACGCTTATGTGAGAGATTAAAACAAAAACAAATAAACACATAGATGCAAAGAACAGACTGGTGGTTACCAGCTTCGGGGAGGGGGGGCAGGGAAAGGGATCAAGGGGGACATTTGGATGGTGACAGATGAAAACTAGACTTTGGATGGTGAAAATAAAAAAAGTTATGTATGGTACTTCCTCATGATGGCTCATCATTTAAAGATGAAATTTATTCCAAGCATGAAACCAAAGTTCTCATTCACACTGAAACAGCACTTTACATTTGACAAAGCTTTTACATGAAGGCGCTCAAGAGAACTTTCAGCCCAGTTTCTCAGTTTCACAAGCAAAGAGGAAAAAGAAAACCCAGAGAGAACAAGTGACTCACCACAAGATGAAGAGTCAGGATCCAGGCTTCGGGCTGTTGACCTTGTTTTTCTGTCCGGCACACAGTATTCATAATTTTAATTGGTGTTGTAAGTGGCCACTATGAGAATGCACTGTGCCTCAACTCCACGCCACTTGACGACCTCTCAGGATCTGTTTGCAGAGAAGATGGAGGAATCTGGCTGGGGAAGGACACCTGGGTGAATTAATAACCTAATAATCACAGCCAAAGGGCTCAAATTAATGAATCAATATCAACCTTGGGGTGGGCCTTTAATGAAGTGCCCCCTAGCTCTCTCCTTGGACTTCTCATGGTCCTGTTTTGGGTTTTTTTTTTTTTTTTTTTGAGGAAGATTGTCCCTGAGCTAACATCCATGCCAATCTTCCTCTATTTTGTATATGGGAAGCCACCACAGCATGGCTTGATGAGCAGTGTACAGGTCCACACCCGGGATCGAACCTGTGAACCCTGGGCCATGGAACAGAGCATGCAACCTTAACCACTATGCCACTGGGATGGTGCCCTCGTGCTCCATATTTTAAATTGATTTTTTTGATGAAAACAAAAAGCAAGTTTGTCAATTTACAGATGATACAAAGCCAGGTGGAATAAGTAAGTGTTAGACGAGAGAATCAAGATCTAAATCTTCATGATGTGATAGCTCAATGGGCCAAGAGAAGATCGATAGCCAACAGGTATGGAGCCTGTACCATGTGCTTGTCATCATCATGCCAGGTGCTCCAAATGCTTGATTTCCCTTCATCCTCACCACCCCATGGCAAGTAAGGCTACAAATTTTTTCTGTGTTACAGCTGAGCGATCTGGGGCTTAAAGAGGGTAGGTAGCTTGCCCCAAGGTCCCCCAGCCTGTAGGTGTTGGCCTGGTGCTACTGTTGGGGCTCTTGACCGTGCTGTATTTAGCAGACTGAGTTGCATGAGAGACTTAGGGACAGTTTTTAAATATTTCAAGGACTGTCACTTGGAAGAAGGTATAGTTTGCTCTCAGAGACCCCAAGAAAATGAACAAGGACAAATACATGGACGCTACAAAGCAGATTATAACTCAATATTTTAAAAAATGCTCTAATGAATAGTAAGAGTTGCCCAAGATGGAATAGCTTTGACGTGTGAACAACTGCATCCCCAGCCGCTATGAACAGGGACGGTAATAGTATATGCTGCGTTCGGTTGTCGTGAGTAAATGAGTCAGTGTTTGTGCAGAACTCAGAACAGTTCCCGGAAGTCCCAGCGCAGAGCTTTCTATAAGTGTTTCTTCAATTTGAAACAGAAATTAATAGAAGTGTTCAAGCAGACACTGGGCATCCCCTTAGTCGATCTAGAAGACCACTTTTCAGGACTTTCCCCAGCTCCCTACGGCTGCCTTTCTCTCCATCCTCCACGGGGTGAGGAGATGCAGTGCCCACTGCCATGTCTGTACCTCATGATCTCTGCACCTCAGTAACTGGACCTGGGGAGCAGAGGACCAAGCTGGACTCATCAGAATCTCTCTCCTGGGACTGAGATTCTCTGGTCCCAGTTTCTGTGCAGCACTGCAGTTGACGTGAGGTAGACTCAGGCTCTGCACGTGGAGGGCAGAAAACCCCAGACTCGAGAGAAGCACAAATCGTGTGTGCAAAGAGAGGTGGAGATGCAAGACCACCTGGTCCTATCGGGAGAAGCCGCAACTGGAGTCCTGCTGCCCTGGTTGCCGAGGGCTGTCTCCTCTCGGGTCCAGGCCCTCCTTAAGGCCCAGCAGCTCTCTTCCCTGCCTGGGAGACATCTCACATGAGGAAGCACAGTGGCTCTTCTTCCTCAAGCAAAGTTGAAGTCATTTCTGTTTTTGCAATGCACAGAGATTAAACTACCAGGACCCTGGATCACTCAGCTGCAAGGAACAGAAGTCCATGCCAAGAACTCCAAGTGGAAAGCCAAGGAGGTGCTCAGGGCAGCCATCTGAGACGAGAAAGTCGTCAGGCAGCTCTTGTCTTCACTCTCTCCCTCTCTCAGGGCTGTGTGTGCACTGTTCTCTGCTTGTCCCCCTGACTGCTCCATTTGTCCCCTCTGCAGAACAGCTTTTCTGCCCCATCGTCCCCTTACATGGAGCCCTGGAGCCCACCTGGCTCTCCGTCTTCTCACTGATTCCGTTTGTTTCTCAAGTCTATGTTTCATATTCCTGGGAGAGAGTGTGTGATTGGCTCAGCTTAGGCCAGGTGTTCAGGACAGGTTCCACCAGTACTGGACAGGGGCGGGGTCACCTGGGTCTGGGGCTGCCCCTTCCAGCGATGTAGGTGGAGCCGACCCCATGAAAGAAGTGTGGACAGGGAGGAATCACGTGTAATGAGCGCTTGGCTGCGAGGTCGTAGAGATTCAGGCTCCAGCTGGTGGCACTCCTGCTCATCTTGGGGAGGCTCCTCCATTTCTGGGGACCCTAGATTTTTACCTGTGAAATTAAGAAGTGGGACTAGAAATAATAATCCTAAGTAGCATTTACTGGGCATCTACCATGTGTCAGATGCCCTTCTAAGCACTTCACGTACGTTAATTTACCTGATTTCATGCCTGTACAGCACTTAAGGTGGTCACCAGGGGGCCATCTCCTTCAATATTCAGTAAATTGACCTGCAATGTGCAAATCTCAATCTGCTCCACCTTCACCCTTAATGATCTCATAAAACAGAAACATAGCCCCGTCCTCTCAGACCACAGACCTGACATTTGTATCCTCACATGAAATTCTTCTGTCCACTGATAAGGGTTTGAAGGCTTTCAAAACAAAGATATATTTTTTTCCAATTCCTATCTTTCATCTTTTATATTTCACAGCTCTGACACACAATAAGCCACTTGCATCCTAACTAGTTTCATTTCCTTGGGGGATTTTTTGGTTTGTTTTCTGTATTCTTTTGAATTATTTTCTTAACTAGTTGCCCTGGGGATTACAATTGGCATCTTAACCTAAAACAACCTAGTTCAGATTAACACCGACTTTGCTCCAGTATAACTCTATTCCCTCCCCTCTTTGTGCCGTAATTGTCATGCAAGTTACATCTTGTACATTATAAACCCATCAAACAGGTATATAATTCTCACTTCTGTAGTTGTCTTTTAACTCAGATGGGAAATAAACAGTTAGAAACCAAAGCACATTTGTACCATCTTTCATGTTGACAATGGACTTATCTTTACCAGTGGTCTCTGTGTCTTCACGTGGATTCAAGGTTCTGCCCAAGGCTGAGGCTTGGGCCTGGGACCTCAAACACCCTCACTCGGTGACTTGCAGGAAATGTTGGCCCGGATAAGAAGATAATGTGGTCATGTGACCCACGTGCGCACGCGCACGCACTTCCATAGCACGGGCCTCTGGAGTTCTCACAGCAGCTGTGTGAGTCACCCTCCCTGAGTTCAGGTGACGTGCTGTGCACAGAGTAGGCTCCACCCAGGACAAACTGCTGGTCCTTCTGCCAGGCTGGGATGTGAAAATGACTTCTCAAATTGAGGTTATCTAACTTGAGTTGCCAGGAAACCACCAGGTTATGTAAACTTAGTAACCAGAGAATGCTAGATGCACATTCATGGGCCCCTCAGACATTCTGAACCAGAGTCGTCTGGGGAGGCGACCCCTTACTCCCCAGAAAGACAGCCCGCACGTAGCCCCTGGTTACTGTCTTAGAAGTCTGTTTTATCTGGTGAAAGAAAGGCCAGTGGTGCAGACTCACATGCCAGACATCAGGACAGTCTCAGAGTCTGAGTCACAGAATATCACCAAATGGGTCTGACGTGCGTTTTAAATAACCAGCACAGTGCCTGGCACCAGTAGCAACTTAAATACGGAATGGATGGATGGTGTTATGGACGGAATGTTGATGTCCCTCCATCATTCATATGATCAAATCCTCAATATGAACACATTATGAGATGGGGCCTGTGGGAAGGAGTTAGGTCATGAGAGTGAACTCTGCGATGGGGTTTTCAGTAGACACAGGAATCCTTGCTGTCGCTCACTGCTCTCTGCCATGTGAGGACACAAGGAGAAGACAGCTGTCTGCAAACCAGGAGGAGGGTCCTCACTACACACAAGATATGCTGGTGCCTTGATCCTGGACTCCCCAGCCTCCAGAACAGTGAGAAACTAATGTTTATGGTCTAAGCCACCTGGTATATGGTACTCCGTCATAGCAGCCTGAGCTGACAAAGATAGACAGATAGAATGAATGGGACAGCTGTAAAAGTGAGGGAGGAGATGGGGCTAAAAATATGAAGACTTAAGAGGAAACCTGGAGTGAAGGTGACAGAAATTTCAGTGTCACCAAAGCTTTGTTCTTAGACTAATGTTCACAGCTCAAAAGTCAGAACCCCAAGACTTTTTCTTTTCTTTTTCTTTTTTCTTGAGGAAGATTGGCCCTGAGCTAACATCTGTTGCCAACCCTCCTCTTTTTGCTGTAGAAGATTAGCCCTGAGCTAACATCCATGCCCATCTTCCTCTATTTTATATGTGGGACTCCTGCCACAGCATGGCTTGACACACAGTGCATAGATCTGAACTGTCAAACCCCGGGCCCGTGCTGGGGGACGGGGCCAGACGCTTGGTCCTGCCGTCCTTGCACCTGTCAGATGGCTGCATCCGGGAGACGCGCCTAGGCAGGAGCGCGGGGCCCTTCTCAGCCAAGCTAGGAATGGAACACCCTCCCAGTTATCATAGCTGCGGGCGTCCAGAAGAGTGGCTTTGATTTCTCAGTCTAGGGATGGTTTCTGAGAGATCCCAGTAGATCGGGCAGAGGCAGGCACGGTGGGCTGCTTCTGGAATTTTTCTGGGCTTGGGGATAGCGGCTGATCTGAGAGGATTCACGGAAATTCGATTTAAAGGAGAAAAGCTCAGAGCCAAAAAAAAAAAAGTTTATTCTGGTCTCAGATTTTTGTAAAGTGTGGTTTGTGTCAAGTAACTGCAAGAGCAAAATCTAGTTAGGTGCCAGATGCTCATAACACACCCGTGTCTGAGCTTCTCTCTCATGACTCATAGTGCAACCTCTGCTTGCTTTCATCACATGAAAATGGGAAGGAGAAAGTGTCAGGCACTTTTGAAGTGGCTCCAACTGATTCCTGTCAATTACTGTTCCCTTTTATAAATAGTGAAAACAAGGGACTTGATTTTCGTT